CTGTTGCATAATCCTAGCGCTGCTGTCTGCACTTTAATGCTAATCAAATAACAAAAGACAAAAGATTGCACACTATTCTTGACTAAATAACTTTTGTACCTTTCATAAGTGTAGCAGACCTCATCTGAATGATGACCAAAACTTTACTGATGAAGAGCTAAACAAACGACAGCACGAGAAGTGCACATTAAACTCTCTCTCTCAGTTGCATTATCATCAACATACAGTGAATTACACAAAACACTTATTACAACTAACAGTAAACAAATATATACAGATCTCATGCCTTTTCGATGGGGGCTTAATAAACTGACAAACTTTAAATCCAAAGAACTGTGTGCTTTCATTACCCATATACGTAGCTCCGTCAGGGTTGCCAGGTTTTCACAACAAAACCTGCCCAATTGCTACTAGCCCAAAACTAGCCCAATCATGTTTGAGGGGGATCCCCCTGTAAAAATCGCGGACATGAAACCAACCCATGGCGACAGTGTTTGACTTGGCAACACTGAGCTCCGTAGACTAGAAAACCCGTCAAAATAAGACTCCTGCCTTAGTAAAGGAGATCTCATACATATTTAAACTTACAAAAAATATTAAAATGTATACAAAAACAAATTAGAAGATTAATCATAACAACGTCTGTTACAATAATGTACCTGAAAACTGTTAAACCTACCTAAAAAGCACTGTTTATTTAATATGTATCTTTGTTCTGTTGTATTTATGTAGGCCTGCTGAATGTTAAATGGATCCAGTCCATGTTCATTAGAAATTATTTGATGATGCAGCAATAAAACTGCAAGTCTAATTTAATGCAGGTGTTTTTGAACTTTGCTGATTTAAAACATGATCAAAATACTATCTATTTTGATGCCAAAATTTCAAATAAGAGAGGAAGTGACAAATATCGGTATCGGAATCTTGTTTTCATACTCGTTGGAAGCCAAAGACATAATTGAAAATAAAATTTTGCCCAGCCCTACTCCACACTATAAAAGAAGGATGAGGAAAAGAACTTAATTGGTTCAAACTTCTTATGTATCATGAACATGCTAAGTTTGACCATAGGGTAACATGAATGAGACTGAAGAGCTAGTGTTTGTCCTTGATGTGTAGTCCCCATCAAAAAGAATGGACATTCTGCTCGCTCTCTTCCTTTGTTGTTCTGTGGGAACAATGCATTTTGGGTTTGGCACAACTTGAGGATGAGTAGATGATGATGGAATTGTCATTTTTGGGGAAACTATCCCTAAGCAGTGAGCATGATTGAGAAATCCTTTTCCGGTTTATCCAGAAGTTTCACTAATTATCTGGTTAAGGCATTTGAATGATGTTTCTGTGTGAAGAGCGCAGTCAGGGTGCCGTCCCACTGGCAGCCTGGGGGCTGCAATTACCCCTCCATTCAGAGCCGTGCCTAATCACCTGGCACCGTACCCCAGGCTGACTGGTGAACTTGAGCTGTTTTGTGTTTGACCGATGAAGTGAACTCCTCCCAAATTCATCTGATGTCCCATTTTCGTCCTGGCTGTGGTCTGACGTGGACGTTGGCATCAGATAGTTTCTGGCAGGGTTTGCTGGTCTTTTCACATGATTGAACAGTAACCGGAGAGCCTAATTTCCATGCTTTTTTGAAAGGCTTTTTCGTTTTCTCTACTTTTGTATTTCTTCTCCCCCTTTCATTTTCTTTCATTTTTCAATCCACAGCAAGATGATGAGCGAATCATTCAGGAGATTCAGAAAGAAGGTGAAGCAGAGTTAAATAAGAAGACCAGTCAGTCAGGTCAGTGTTCTTCAACTAGATAAATTTAGTCGGCCACCTAAACCCGAGTGGTTTCTAATGATATTTTGTAATGTTTCCCTCAGAAACCACAGGGAAGAGAGTGGGACCTCCCCCCGAGCCCATCCCAGCGAAGCGCCCTCGGGTTACACCACAGGTCCCTAACGCAGCTCCTCAGGCCGTACGTGCCCCCCTGCTCATCCCCCAGGTCATGCTGCCTGGGCCGCAGCGTGTTTTCCTTCAGCCCATTCCAGCCCCCTACGTGCCCCCGTTGCCCAACCTCCCCCCAGTAAATTACAACCCACGTAACCTGAACTTTGACTTCAATATGCCTATGCACTATGGACCACCGCATCGCTTCTTCAGACCTCTTTGAGGACACCATGGTACAAAGCGCCACATTTGAACTACTAAAAAAAAAATCCAGGCTTCTGTCTTAACTGTTAGCCCTTGCTGTTTTTTTTCTACGTATTTTGTAACAGGACCCAAACAGATTTTCTGGAGTTTTAAGGATGCCTGTTGGATTTGCTTGTTTGTTGAAAGGTATTTTTGAACAGCATACAGAGTGAATAATAGGAACGCCTGTTAGTTTTCAGTTCAATAAAACAAAGAACTTGATGGAAATGTAAAGGTTGTTTGTGGTATCAGTCAATGTGCGCCGCTTTCTAAAGTTCAAAATGTATGTTGGTTTGGCTGGGATTTCCAATGACGTTCCCCATGAGGTCATCAAAAGAATTCACTGCAATCAGCAAACCAGTTGAATGTTTGTTTTTCATCCAGGGTTTTTCTTATTCAACGTCTTTCCTCATACAAATGCCTAGATTATTAGTTTAGATGGATATTGGTGCCATTTCAGATCTGTAAATCAAACTGTAGGACCAGTTTTGCTACTAATGTTTACACTACTGTTCAAAAGTTTGGAATCAGAAAAACATTAAGAAATTAATACTTTTATTCAGCAAGGATGCATTAAATTGATCGAAAGTCACAGTAAAGACATAGTTACAAAAGCTTACTATTTTAGATAAATGCTGGTCTTTTGTACTTCCCATTTATCAAAGAATCCTGATAATTTTGTATCTCAATTTTCACAAAATATTACGCAGCACAACTGTTTTCAACATTGATGATAGTAAGAAATGTTTCTTGAGCAGCAAATCAGCATATTAGAATTATTTCTGAAAGATCATGTGACACTGAAGACTGGAGTAATGATGCTGAAAATCCAGCTTTGCCTGACAGCTCTCCTGTCCCCATATTGGGAGAAATCGGGAGTGCAGAAGCATTGTGTGCGCTGTGTGAACATGATGTTACTGTAGTTCTAGACTAAATGTGAATGTGCATTAATTCATCCCACTCACAAAAAACAGATTTAGTATTCATCAAAATGAATTAAAACAGTGAAATGCAAACTCAGAATATGACGCAAACCTGAATAATTAAATATGTTAAATAACACAAATGTATCTAATCCCATTTTATTAACCAATATCTTTGCTGCTGACCTTTGATGATCCAGTTCAACCATACTAATAAGCAAAAATGACTTTAGATAAACTAACAATTGTGCTTCATTGTTTTTTTATTGCTGAAGAGTGTATCTTCTCCTGCGTTCTACTGTACAGACTTGAATTTACTTTTGCTTCAGCCTGAGGTTTATTCATTACACTTTTTGGTGTGAAAGGGCTTTTATATTTGCTATAAATAGAACTTCTTATATTAAAAACAAGCAAGCCCTGCTCATATTTAAAAAGTAATGCGAAAGTAACGCAGAAGTAATGTAACGCATTACTTTCCATAAAAAGTAACATAATTAGTTACTTTTTTAGGGAGTAACGCAATATTGTAATGCATTATTTTTAAAAGTAACTTTCCCCAACACTGGTCATGGACCTTAAAATCATTGTAATATTCAGAATTTTATATTAGGGTAAGTTGTGAATATTCAGTTTGTAGCCCAGTGCTAGCTGGGATGTAAGTGCTTAACTGGTTTGCATCACAAAGGGAAATTAAGAAGAACTGTAAGCAGATGTAAATGTGATAGTGGAGAATATTCTCATTTAATTAGAAAATAGACATTTCTTTTTTCTGGTACATCCTCACTGTGAGCTTGATGGTCTCTCTCATGGATGTTTTTACATTTAAATCTGTTGAGTTATTTTTATAAACTTGTAATTACAATCCCTTGCTTTCCCTGTTCATACACTTGTGTCCACATTTGTTTAATTCTTGTACCAAACAGCAGCAAGACCAGATTAAATATTCCAAATATATTTTCTGCACTGATTTGGAGGGAAATCTGCTGGATTGATTTAAACATGATTCAGTGTGTTACGGTGTAATCACATTAGCTACACTTCAGTAAAATATAATGGGCAAAGACGGTTAATTGTCAGTGTAGCGATGCAAGAAGCACCACTTACTCGGGTCATTTCCAAACTAAGCAGTTTTATGTTGGTCAAGTTGTGTGTTCGAAGTTAAACAAAAATTCCCGATCACACAGATTCCTAATGAGGTGAATGCACAGTCAATATTTTTTAATAAATGAACATGCAAAGGTGACTGTAAAACTTGTGAATGACAACCATTCCACTTTTGAAGAGAGTTTTCTCGAGTTCTTCAGGCACATAATCCATGTGGACCTGTTAATCTGACACAGAACATCTGACAAAATCATACAGGAACTGGCGCTTTTGATTTATAAAATGGAGCTGCTCAAAAATGTTGTTTATTGTGCTGTATTGCGTGACTCGTCCATTGGCTTGACTGCAGTGCAGTGAGACTCCCGCAGAGAGTCCCGTCCTCTTGCCCAGCACTTCAACAAAGAGCCACAGCTCTTGCTCACTAATGGAGCCCACAGGATCCTCACCTCCTGCTCTCCTCCCCGCTGGCAGCAGCCCCTCTGCCCCGGGCTTTATTCAGACCCCTCGTGCCTCTTAAAGCATATTACTCATCCTCACAGAGAGCACGAGGCTCTTACAGTAGCCCTTTTTTGGTGAAATCTAAGGGATGGTGGCGTGTCAGTCAAACTAGAAGGAATGACCAGCAGCTTCTTAAATCAGTGCTGAGGTGTAACACAATCCTGAGAAGATCAGGATAATCTGGCCATCTTCTCCCATCTGTTGTTGGTGGTGTATTTGAGTACCGGTGTACCACACCTGACACGGTGCAGGTGAATGAAGTGTCTCAGTTTGACATTGTAACCTCCTAATGGGCCAGCAGATGGACAGTCTTTAGGCCCGTAGGCCTGCAGGTGTGAAAGGTCGATCCTGGCAGCTTGTGCTCAATGCGCCCACAGCTTAAGAGCTTCCTGAAACTGGATCTGTGCCCCTGAATCTTCTGCCTCATGTTTCATCAAGTCTCTCACTCTTAAAAATAAAAGGTCTTTATTGGCATTGACGGTTCCTTGAAGAACCTTTAACCTCCATGGAACCTTTCCATTGGACAAAACGTTCTTTATAGTGAAAAATGGTTATTTAGATTATTAAAATGTTCTTCACATGAAGAAAAAGTGGTTATTTTAAGAAGTGTTCACTGAAATGTTTTTGGGGAACCCAAAATGGTTCTTCCCCCTTTTGGAACACTCATAAAAAAGGTTTCAAAAGGGGCATTTTTGTAGTGATTACATAGAAGATCCATTTTGGGTTCCCCAAAGTACCTTTCAGTGAACAGTTCTTAAAAGAACCGCTTTTTCTTTGTGTTGAAGAACATTTTAGTAATATAATAACTGAATTCTTATTTTAATAACTGAAAGGTTTTTTGGGGAACCAAGAATGCTTCTTCTATGGCATTGTTGCGAAAAACTCCTTTTGGAACCTTGAATTTGAACAGTGACATTGTGGTTTGTGGATATGGATCAGGTCTACCTGAAGATAGATTAAAATTCATTGTTGTTGTGGTAAAGTACAGATGACTTATTCAGCGAGGACATTAAATTGCTCAGTGTCAGTAAAGATATTTATTGTTACAAAATATTTCTATTTCAAATAAGGTTATTTTTACGTTATTTTATTCATCAAAGAATATTGGGAGAAAATGTTTCCACAAAACTATTAAGCAGCAAAGCAAATTTTACCAATGATAATAAGAAATGTTTCTTGAGCACCAAATCAGCATATTAGAATGATTTCTGAAGGATCATGTGACAGTGAAGACTGGAGTAATGATGCTGAAAAATCAGCTTTGCATCACAGGAATAAACTAAGTTTTTGCATGTTCAGATAGAAAACAGTTGTTTAAAATGGTAATATTTCACAGTATTACTGTTTTACTGTATTTTTGATCAATTAAATGCAGCCTTGGTGAGCATAAGAGACTTAAATCAAAACGTTTTGAAGTGTGCATTGTGCACACTTAATTGGAAAGTTCACCCCAAAATGAAAATTCTGTCATTATTTACCCTCAAGCAGAAAATTCTGTCATTTATTCCCTCTCAATTTGTTCAAAACCTGTATGAATTTCCTTTTCTCTGGTGAACAGAAGAATTTGGGGAACCAAACAGTTTCTGGTCACCAATGACTTTCATAGTAATTCTTTTCACCCCTCCATACTCTGATGGACGTCACTGGGGACCAGCAACTGTTTGGTTACCTACATTCTTCAAAATATTTTGTTCAACAGAAGAAAGAAATTCATACAGGTTTGGAGCAACATGAGGGTGAGTAAATGATAACAGAATTGTCCATTTTGGGTGAGCTATCCCTTTAAGCTTCCATTTCGAATGAGCTGGAATTACAAGAATAATTTGAATTGCTTGCTTTCTTGACTCCGTATTTGATAAGAATGCCCAAAGTCGACATTTTTACACAAAACTGAATGTTGAAAATTGATATTGAAAATAAAAACTGAAAATCTTAAATGCAAAATAAAAATGTTCAAGGTAAAATGTTGTAAGACAAGGTCAAGTGACTACTATAGTTTGAAATGTTAGTCATGGATGGAAGCCTACGGTTTCAGTTAGTTTTAAAAAAATTATTAGGCAGTGTACCTTGTGAGTAGGTCATGTTCCATTCCATGCATATCACAAAAATGCAAATACATGGAAAACTTAGAAACCACATGCATAATTCGAGAAATGTCCTGACATTTGTCAGTGCAGTGCAAACATTGTTCTTTTCCCACTGAATGTTACAGTCACATCTGTGCAAAAGCTGTTGCTCTGCTCTGATGTGTTTATTCAAATGTTGTACAATTTTGTGTCAATCATGTGAATCAGCCTGCACATACGTCTCATGAAAATGATGACTAAAAAATCCGTCTGCCCACCTGAAAAACTGCAGTTCCAGCCCCACCATCAACCCCCACAGTAAAGCCCCTTCAAATGACATGCTCTGAGTTACCATGGGAACATTGGTCCTGGTGTCAGCCAGACTAGATCGTTTAACCCTTTCAGTCTCTTTTCTTAGTTGCTAGAAAGCCAGAATGGAAATGCTCATGGTGTCATCTTCATTTGTTTACTCCGATTAGTCTACCAATCAATCGGGTGCATTCATATTTATTGCCCTTACAAATAACCGGAGCAGCTTCTTGTTTAATAAACCTAACTTCCTATCTTAAAGAATATGATGCACACTCTTTGTCTTTGCGATGGGTGTATACCGAAGGGGTCAGTCTACAGTAATAGACTGATTTTTGCAAAGTTGTCAGATTATTGGAGTACATTTTACAAGGAAAAACTATTTCTACTTTTTTTTTAAAAAAATCATATTTCAATGTGGTACTTGCATTGTTTTTTTTTATTGTTTTTTTTACATAGTATGTGATCAGGGTAGCCGTTCAAAAAAAATGTGTCTATTCTTTTTTTCTATTCACATTGAGTGGCTTCTCTGAGGATCTTACTGAAATATTGTGGACTTTAAATATTTTTTATAGCTTGCAGCAAAGATCACATGCTTTCAATTTGTATTTCTAGTTGCATTTTAGATACTGAGGCTCTTTTATTACAATTTTAGGCTCCTTGAACGTCAATAAACAACCTTTTTGTTGTTTCAACTCAGCAGATGACCTCGACATCATTCTGCTCCAGCAATAACACAGAACAAAAGCCTCATTGATGAAGTGGCCACAAGTTTAAAAAAAAAGATGGAGTAGAGGTCTCAGGAGAAAACTAATTTCTCTCATTCTGCTGCTGCTGCTTCTGTAAGCTTTCAAAATAAACTCACTGCAGTCATACTTCACCGAACTCTGCTCAAGCTTAGTGACAGTTAGCTAGATAAAGCCGTATCACTTCACTAGAGGGAACGTGTTTGCTTTGATCATTGCTTTGCCATTTAAAGAAAACCAACATTTTTAATGTTTATTTTCAAGAAATTAAAAAAACATTCACTGACAGAGTTTCATATTCAAACCATATTTATTTACGGATTTCATTTGTACCCATGGCACACGAGGAAACATAACCATAATATCAAAATAAAAAGACATCTGTAAAGACTTTACAAAGTATAATGTGGAATGTCTTTTTCCCCCCATAATGACCTTTTAAGGCACAGTCATTATCATTTCCTTAGCAACGGGAGATCATTATCATGTGAAATGATAGCTCTTAAATAATTTTTCTTAAAGTTCTTAATGCGTTAAGCTCAATTAAAAGCATTATTAAAGTGTAAACAAACCTCGCAAGCTATAGGCTCCATCTCTAAACTCCAAACCGAAGACATCATATGAGGAGCGGTTGGAGTCCAGGGTGCCGGTCACCTTCCTGCAGCCAATGAAGCCATGCTCCCCTCTCAGCACAATGAGGGGCCTATTGATGAGCTTCATCAGGAACTCCTCGGTCTCACCTGAAAAAGCAATTTTTCAGAATTGAGACTCACAATAGCCAAGCGGGAATATGATTGCGCCATTGTAATGCTCCACTCAACATGACCACCAATTGAGGGGCAATCTATCAACAAGTTTACTAAATCACAGCAGCATTTCCAAACAAAAGGTTGAAACAGCGGAAACGGTGTACAACACCCCACCCCACCTGCTGTGTCAATAGTAGCAGCCAGCTGTCCGTTCTTTTTGGCAGCCACATATTTTCCATTGTTGGCACGCAGGGTTATCTTCTTCCCATGCCACTCAATGTCAAAGTAGCAGTTAGCAGACCTGATCGAAGAAATTATACATGTATAATTATACATTACCCTTTTAAAAAAAAAAATCATATTTCAATGTGGTACTTGCATTGTTTTTTTTTATTGTTTTTTTTACATAGTATGTGATCAGGGTAGCCGTTCAAAAAAAATGTGTCTATTCTTTTTTTCTATTCACATTGAGTGGCTTCTCTGAGGATCTTACTGAAATATTGTGGACTTTAAATATTTTTTATAGCTTGCAGCAAAGATCACATGCTTTCAATTTGTATTTCTAGTTGCATTTTAGATACTGAGGCTCTTTTATTACAATTTTAGGCTCCTTGAACGTCAATAAACAACCTTTTTGTTGTTTCAACTCAGCAGATGACCTCGACATCATTCTGCTCCAGCAATAACACAGAACAAAAGCCTCATTGATGAAGTGGCCACAAGTTTAAAAAAAAAGATGGAGTAGAGGTCTCAGGAGAAAACTAATTTCTCTCATTCTGCTGCTGCTGCTTCTGTAAGCTTTCAAAATAAACTCACTGCAGTCATACTTCACCGAACTCTGCTCAAGCTTAGTGACAGTTAGCTAGATAAAGCCGTATCACTTCACTAGAGGGAACGTGTTTGCTTTGATCATTGCTTTGCCATTTAAAGAAAACCAACATTTTTAATGTTTATTTTCAAGAAATTAAAAAAACATTCACTGACAGAGTTTCATATTCAAACCATATTTATTTACGGATTTCATTTGTACCCATGGCACACGAGGAAACATAACCATAATATCAAAATAAAAAGACATCTGTAAAGACTTTACAAAGTATAATGTGGAATGTCTTTTTCCCCCCATAATGACCTTTTAAGGCACAGTCATTATCATTTCCTTAGCAACGGGAGATCATTATCATGTGAAATGATAGCGCTTAAATAAATTTTCTTAAAGTTCTTAATGCGTTAAGCTCAGCGTGGCTCTGTTAGTTTGATGCACACCTGAAATCTAATTAAGCACCAGTTTAACCTCAGGTTTAAATCTTTAATCAATCTTGTGTGGTGTTAATGTCTTCATTTTGGCTTTAATGTACTGTAATGTGTATGAAGGAATAAGGTTCATGATAATGTCTGTGCCTTCTCTAACAATAACAACAAAAGTTAGGTGACATTTCCAGACACCTTTCCAGATAAGACCACTGCATGAGTCCAGTGAACCCAGACCCACCATTCCTTTGAGATTTGTCAGGTTTAAGAAGGAAAAGTGGTTTAATTTAGCATAAATACTGTGTTGAACCTGCAACAACATACCTCACGTCGGTATCTTCACACCCACAGCTGCAGCACACAACGTAACGATGACACCGCTTTCGAGTTGCAGAAAACATTTACCATTTTAATATCTATTTATTTTTTCCCACCCATTCGCAATTCCAGGCATAACCCTAATTTTGAGATGAGGGACTGTGAGGTACCAATCCAGTTCTCTAGGTTTTACCTCTTTTTAAACATTAAAATTAATTCTAATGGCACAGACAGTGAGGCAGTACATACAGAAGTACACAAGCAAAGCACTGCCCTACTTCAAACAAGAAAACAAAAGTGTAGCTCATTGCCGTTTCAGTGGTCTGAGAGCTTCCTTCATAACTCTGTCAAGTCTATGGAACGGAAAAAACCCTCAACATTCATACATTTACCTGTAAATATTGCCTTAGTCCTCATGAGGGTAGGTACTTATGACTGGCAATACAGTGGGAGGCATTACATCAATAGCTCACAGTCACAAGGTTTTCTTTAACATTTCGCTATGTGTTAATATTAAGAGTGCGAGGCTCATACAGGACTGTGCAAAGACTAGGAAGAAGGATCTCGCTACAATCTGGTCAAAATCAAAATCCTGTGGCTCGATGTGTGGCGCCCGCATAGTCGATCTTCCAGAGAGTGAACCGACTTGAATGGAAGTCAATTATTATGACAGATTAAGAGATGGCATTAGATGTGCTTAACCACACAACACACATTTGGATGCCAGTTAAGTCCCAGTTTTGGCCAATCGTCATCAATGAAAACCGCACAATACTGCGGTAATACTGTGGAACACAAACTCTGAAGTATTTAGACAGAATAGAGTATACGTGACTAGAAGCAAGACTCTCCACCTTTGGGTTTCTCTCTGCTATTGGCCGGTGTGCTTACTCGTATTCAAAAACCATATTCAAAATGCATAACAGAAAGGAAAAAAAACTGGAAAGAAAAAGCCACAGTGGTTACTTAAGTGCTTTTAGTACTCCCACATAGTGGAGGTGTCCAGATCATCGGCGTTGGCCTTCAGAACACCTGCATGATCACCCTTAAGATACTTCCCCTCAGTTGACTTGATGGCCACTTTGTTGTAGTCACAAAACTCGAGGAAGAAGTCCACCGGGGTGTCGCTACTGCTGAGCACGTTCGATTCACTGCCCACCATCCAGTATTTCCCTGTGGAGTCTGAGAAGGGATTCATGGCATCAAGAAAAGTCTTAAGTTAAAACCTTGCATTTCCTTTTTAACAAGATAAAGTCTGTATTAAAAGCATTATTAAAGTGTAAACAAACCTCGCAAGCTATAGGCTCCATCTCTAAACTCCAAACCGAAGACATCATATGAGGAGCGGTTGGAGTCCAGGGTGCCGGTCACCTTCCTGCAGCCAATGAAGCCATGCTCCCCTCTCAGCACAATGAGGGGCCTATTGATGAGCTTCATCAGGAACTCCTCGGTCTCACCTGAAAAAGCAATTTTTCAGAATTGAGACTCACAATAGCCAAGCGGGAATATGATTGCGCCATTGTAATGCTCCACTCAACATGACCACCAATTGAGGGGCAATCTATCAACAAGTTTACTAAATCACAGCAGCATTTCCAAACAAAAGGTTGAAACAGCGGAAACGGTGTACAACACCCCACCCCACCTGCTGTGTCAATAGTAGCAGCCAGCTGTCCGTTCTTTTTGGCAGCCACATATTTTCCATTGTTGGCACGCAGGGTTATCTTCTTCCCATGCCACTCAATGTCAAAGTAGCAGTTAGCAGACCTGATCGAAGAAATTATACATGTATAATTATACATTACCCTTTTTTTATAATGCTACAAAAGATTTCTATTTCAAATGAACACTGTTCTTTTAAACTTCTTATTCATCTAACAATCCAAAAACAAAACCGTTTCAACACTGATAAGAAATGTTTCTTGAGCAGCAAATCAGTATATTAGAATGATTTCTGAAGGATCATGAACCACTAAAAACTAAAATAACAGCTGCTGAAAATTCAGTGCTGTCATTACTGGAATAAGTTACATTTTAAAATATATTAAAATAGAAAACACTTATTTTAAATTGTAATCTTTTTTTAATAATTTTGTAAATGCAGCCTCGGTGAGCAGAAGAGACTTCCTTTCAAAAACTAAAACCTCAAACTTTTGAACAGCAGTGTAAATAAGTCTTCGATTAAAAAGTCTAAAACTGAATGTAGTCTGACTTTTCTCAAAAGGGTCTTTAATTTTATTATAAATTTGAATTTGTTAATTCTGATATTGAAGAAAAATGGTTTGGGTTTATCTGAGCTGATTTTCTGTCTTACAATTTGACCCCAACACTAAGCATTTAAGATACCTTTTACCATCTAATTAAATTAATATTGTATGGTTAGTGCAAGACATTAAAAAGTGGGCCTACCCCAACACAGAGATTCTTTCATCTAAAGAATGCTAGTAAGAAAACACTGACAACACTAAGCCATCTTCATTATGGCATGTTACTGTGATTCACACTCACTTAGTAGAGGCAGTGCACTGAAGGCCACCATTAGCTGTGAGGGTCCAGTATTTGCCAGTGCAGGTCCTGAAGGCACACTTCTTCGTGTCCTTACTGATTTCCATTTGGAAAGTCTCCTGGTCACCTTCTTCATCCTGGTTGGCAGAGAGGTCCATGCCTGTCAAACACAAAAACACAGCATACTGTAAACCACATTATAAAAACCAAACCCCTGGCTTTCACCAGCGTGAGCTCACAACACATCTTAGATCTGGTTTAGCCATGCTGAGTGAGCTTGGCAGTTTTGGGATGCTGATCTTTGAGATTACTTGACTAAAGAGTGTTGAATGCCATGGACTATCACTCTGGCAATTGCTTTGGGACACACACACACACACACACACACACAGAGAGAGAGAGAGAGTTAATCGCCCTAAGAATTTTGGACCGTCATATATGCCAGGAAGCTTAGTGGGAGGCTTCAGGACAACAAGAGTCAATGCAATGGTTTGTAGTTTAGATTCATGGAGCTCAATGAAAGACCAGACCACCAGTCCTCTACTTAAGGAAATCTAATTAAACTCCATTGTGTGCATTTAGAAACACAGACATCAGATAAATCTAGCGTTTATGGTCTAAACCTCTTTGGAGAGGGAAACCGAAGACAGGTTTTTGAAAGGAAATATTAAAGCTACATTAAGACAAACATCTACAAGATGAAGTTACAGCTATAATTTTATTAACATCTACTCTGAGAATGAATTGTTTGGTGAAATCAAAAATCTTTTGGAACAATACATGGTAATCTGCAATTCACCATGATTGCCTTCATGTTCCAGTTTCACAAAGCTCGTAATACAGCTACACGAAATTGCGTATTAGCCCCTCCACTGCCTGGCCTCAGGAAAACAGTGTGTATTTTGCCAAAAAAAAAAATGCCTGCCAAGATGAGAAACACATGGCTGCAAATGTAAGATCTGCAAAGGAGAATGACTAAGACGTCCAGAGACTTGCTCTAAATCGGTCTCAGGCAGGGGGGGTGGGGGGGTGATTGAGGGGGGAATCCCCTCAATCATTCTAGGGTGGTATGTATCCTCACCCGGCATTTAAATGGTTTGGGAGGATCTTTTAAGCCACCAGCAGACACACCCCCAACCCCCATCGCTCGACGCCTGACTGCGAATGGTCAAGCCATCCACACGACAACTGCAGGGCTTCTATTCCCAAGTGAAAAGCCTTTAACCTTGGCAGCAAAATATTGTAGGGACATACATTTAGGATGTTTTAAGTCATTTTCACAATTATAGTGCCAGACACTCAAACGAGCTCAACAGGGTCAAGCAGCTGCTATCATATAGCAGCACAGACAAACAATTCAAATGAATACAAAATAAAACGCAAGACACTGTTGGGAAACCATTTTTGCATTTACGGAATGACAAACATTTGATGTCCTTGCCACAAAGGAAAGAAGAGCAGGCAAACAAGCAGGCAGACTCCTAATCTTTGAAGTCAGATGCATTCAAGCGAGAGTACATCAGTGTTTTTGGAGAGAGGTCGAACTCTCACGTGCACTTGAAAGAATTCTGAAAATGTACTCACCCTCAAGTCGTTCCAAACCTGTCCAAACCACAATGGATTGCATTTAAACGGTATGGACAAAAAGAGGGACATTTTTCAAAATATCTTCTTTTATGTTCCACAGACTTGGAAAGACACCAGGGTGAGTTAATAATGACAGAGCAGTAAGTATGGTTAAAATGTATTTTAAAATCACTAAATTGTAGTGAGAAATTTAGATGGCAAATCACATAACAGATCTTGGTATACGTTTTGCATAAACCAAGCATTTACATATAACGTTCATTTTCCATGATGAGTCTCTCAGCAGTTGTTTTACTCCAGGACAAATGCGTCTTCACCGGCCAGTGAGAGGATGAGGAAACACAAGGCAGTGTTTATTCTGCACTAAGACATTCACAGGCTGCACATGTTGTTCAATGGGTTCAGGAAGGTCTAATCAAATAAACAGCAGCTTCATCCAAATACCACTGGCACCGTTTCAACAGCAGCACACAGGCATGAGAAAATGATGCAGGACAAACCTTTGCAGATGCCTGAAGCCACGTGGCATGGCAACAGCACACAAACCCTTGTGTGGCTGACGCTCGGTCACATTCAACCCACTCTCTCTCCAAACAGCAGATGTGCGCATGGAAAACTTTTGAAACATTTTGTATCGTCCCTCTTTCATTTGAAGAATACGAGGAAAAGGTGCAGAACCCGGCATTTTGATGCCATGCTGCAGTACTGCGTCAGTATGCGACCTGGCAGCGCTCTGAGCAGATGCAGACTCGTTCAGTGCCCACATCCTTGACACACACACACACCCCTCTGGAGCCCAGCCAATCGGACAGAGCTGCTGACAGACACAGCCTCGTGTAGCCCTTCCCTTGAAGTGAAACCATCAGAGTCTGCATTACAGAGCTTCTTTGTGTTCACCCTGATGAGTAATTTCTCATTTCAGCAGCACATTTACCTCCCAGGCATTAGAATACTCACAAGTCGACAAAATAAGCAAAACAGTTGTTACTGTGTAAATGCTGCCAGGTTTGTACTTTGCATGTGCTCCTAGACATCCTCAACAAAAGTGATTATGTTACAATCAGCACACCATACAAGGGCTTTGAAGAACTTCTATGTTGGACAAATGTTCCTTTATAATGCAACATGAAACATTAGTCAAAACTGCTGTTCAGATGATTTACAGTTTGGACACATTTGAACATTAAGGTGTAGTTCAACACATTAACCACAAAGTTTGTTTCCGAATTTTGAACAATTCAAATATATGCATCTAAAATATATGAAATATTTCTTTTGGTGATTTTTTTTTTTGCTTGAGAAGTGTGTTTGTGCACTTTTCCCTTATGAAAAAGAAGCGTGCTTAAATGCACTGGATGTGCACTTGTGGTGTACTTCACATCTTAAAAGTATATTTATTATGTATATATTAATGAAACAAAAGGCAACTTAAGTGTACTTAAATGTTTCTTAACACACTTAAGTACAAATATTACAAATATATTTAAAGTTTCAATAGAAATGACATTAAAGTATATTTTAGTTTACCATAAATGCTTGTATATTCAGCAGTACACTTTAACCATATTTTAAAGACAATAGAAGTAATTATGAAATTACATATAATGTATATGATAATATGTACTTAAGACCTACTACATTAAGTCCTAATACATTTTCATTTAATTGCACTTAACACACAAGTAAGTATCCTAAAACATTACATTTGGTTTGTATATTCCTTTAAAGTGTATTATTTCCGTAACTGTGCTCTTCTTTTTAACAAGGACTACTCAAAATAAATGTCACTTGGTTTGATATTTTGGAATCCTTTCATACATTTTTATTTGTTCCTAAAAATATCCAAATATGTCTGTGATCACTGTATATACCTTTATGACAACCAATACTTGTGCACATGCATTAAATGTGACATTGTTCTGAAACATGACGTGCACTGTAGATCTTTGTTGCACATCAGCCTCTGGCTCAATAGCTCTTATTTTTGGACACCAAACCGTAGTGGAAGAATCCAAGAGGATGTTCAGGGATATTTCTTGCACGGGCGTATGTTTCTGCCACACTTCCTCTTAAGTCTTTTGAGGTGACATTGCAAGGCAAATCAGACAGAAACACATCAGAAGGTCACTGACCCAAATGTGATGCGTATGAGCACTTTTTCCTCTCAGGTCTCACACCTCTTGGTCTCCTCCTCTCAGCTGACTGAGCAATGACTGTCCTGTTTCCCACAGATCTGAATTGATAGCAGCCACTTCTCTGTGGAAAGTTTGCACTGACTCACTGACCTACATACAGTACATTGAGATGCTCTTTGTGGGTTAGGCATTGAATGCAATTGGCTCACACCTATACAACATGATGATCTGGCACAGACAAATTGGATACATAAAGCTAGTGCTAGTTGTGGGTTTATAATTTGTACATCTGATGTTTAGATGTTTTCACATTTCTATTCTCCATTAAGAGCAAAGAGTTTTATTAGAGGGCCAGATTTGTGTTATGCACAAATTAATAATAAGGCAGACACACACACACACACACACACATATATACTGTATATATAAAGGGGGCCATATATCATCCTTCTTGTTATATAGCTATATAATGAACAGTGAACACATGTCTGCAGTAATATATTTCTACCATAATTAAACTGCCTGTTGAAAAGTGTAACATTAAGTTAATGTATAAAGGGGCAGTTTTGAATTCTGCAGTAAATTTAATCTGCAGCACCATCTGATGACTATTCCACATGCTGGTGACTGTGGAATGACATTGTTTTGGGCACAGGAAAAAGCAGAGGGAGTCCAGGGATGGGGTGAGGAGAATAGAGAAAGAGAACAAGGGTATCCTTCACTGCCCCCTCCCAAATCTACTTTATTTCATTATATGCATAATTAGTTTTAATCCTGGAACACAAAACAAGTTATCACAATGTCAGAGTTGCTCTTTGCCATACAATAAAATGCACTGTGATCACTGGTAGTCAAGTTCAGTTGCAATTTTGTTTGGTGTATCTTTTAAATTCCATACAATTCAATGGCTTGGGGGCAGTACATTTTTTTTAAGTAATAAATATTTTTATTCTGCAAGGATGCATTTAATTGATCAAAAGTCACAGTAAAGACATGTATCATGTTATAAAGGATTTCTATTTTAAATAATGCTCTTTTGAATTTCTATTCATCAAAGAATCCTGAAAAAATGATTCACAGTTTCCACAAAATATTAAGCAACACAACTGTTTTCACCCTTAATAATGAGAGATGTTTCTTGAGCATATTACATTTTAAATGACATAAATTACTATTTAAAATAAATAAAAAATAAACGCAGCATGGTAAGTATACGAGACTTCTTTTGTGAGAAGCCTCTGAAGAGTAGTGTACATATTTAGTTTGGGATTTGAGTCACTGTATGGGTCTCTTTGCACGCTGAATGACAGCAGTATGACTAAATTAACACTCATGACTGCTTTGATTATGTCTTATTTTGCCTAGGTGATCATGTCTTATCTTGCCTCACCTACAGTATGTTGCCCAAGTGAGCTACAACTAGATTCTCCACAAAACCAGCTGCATGACGCCCCTGATT